GCTCTTTATACCATACCCCCCGTTCATTAATTTCCAGCTTACTACGACCGACGATCATGTGAAATATTATATCTAGAATCTAGATATCTGAATGAAACTTCTTCTTTTTTTTGTAAATGGCAAATTACTGTCAGTATTAGTACCGGTACCGGGTTTGCTACCTCAATTTTCTGTGCATTTTTTAAAACCTTTGTACGTTGGTTTATAATTATTATTTTTTTTATGAAACTGGTTTGTTCCTAAATGGGAAATGTTGTCCCAGTAACTTACTAAAATCACTAGAATTTCATGATCTCAAGTTCTTTAATGCTCTGAAGGAGAAATAAAACAGATTCCTACTAGTACAGGGGTATGAGGTTGAAAGTGCACCCCCAACCCCCTTTTAATCTCCCCCTCCCCCGTTTATTCGATATCCTTGAGTAAGGATTCCGAGTTTTTGTCGAGGGACCCTCTCTTCACCAGTTTGTCAAAGGCCAGCGTCTCTACCTCGCCGCAGCACTTCGCTACCCTGGAATTACAAGCCTCCACCTTCTCAGTACTAGTTTTGAGACATTTGACATGTTTAAAAAGTATTTTGAGTTTCACAAAATGTCAAGCTTTCTCGAATGCAAACTTTGAATATGTTAATATCAGCTCCGAATGATTTTACGATTTTAATAGAGCAGACAGAGCATTTGGTGATTGACCCTCAGGAGACTATGGAGACTATGGCATCCTTCCGTCTCAGGAAACTATGGATCTGCGCCGTAGGAGATTTCAGGTTCGAGAGCAGCGTTTGCTGCGGCTGAACAGGCCCACACGGGACCCTATGGTCTTATTAACTCAAAACGGCCAAAAGTATCATTTTGAACTTTGTAATTCTAAGACAGCGTCTCCACGTTATTAATCTCAAGTAAAGTTAAAGTAAGTATGTAAACTTTTCTTAGATACAATCGATCAAATAAAAAGTATATACCTGTGTCATTTCACCGCTCTTCACCACATTGTACTCATTGAGGAAGAGTGTGGGTTTTGGGTCAGCTCTGTGAATCTCCCGGAACATGTGCTCCGTGTAGAGAGGGTTTCCTGAGTGCTCCTCGTAAAAATAGCCATGAAGTAGCTCGTTGTTCACGTCCCAGTGAGCCAATCTGTGGATGGGATTGTAATGGCAAGTGAGAAACACTAGCAAAACAAGACAACATTTATTTAATTCTTATAACAAAGACAGAATTAACTATATCTTTCATTTCTGTTGCAATTCGGGAAAAAGCGCAACACTGGGAGGTTTTCTTAAACCCACGTTAAAATGATGAATGGTTTTGACATTTTCACCTCTTGAAAGGTGTCTATAAACTGCTTCCCGCCGACAGCAAGCTAGGGGAAGGTTCCAACCAAAGAAAATCCTCACTTGTTCTTTGTCTGTGCCGTCATGTAAGCTATACGATCATCCACGGTAGTCTTGAATTCCTGAACAGACAATCCCTTGACCCACTCAGGATTGTTAAATGGGACAGCCCAGAACATACAGTGACCTCGCACTTTGATCCTGATGAAGGAACACAAAAATAAATTATATAGTAGACATTGTTAGCACAGAAATTTATAACAATAAGAAAATGTAAGTTAGAATTATGTCATATAAGAAAGACATAAATAGGACAAACTTTATCATCTCCTAAGGAATGTTCTTCCCTCTGTGTGTTAACGAATTCGAAATAGAAGAAATTTGCTTCTTAACTTCCACTGTCTTTGATTTTGTCCTCTTGTCGATGAGCCCATTTCTCCATCTTCTATTTAACAAACAAAGGCTAAATTTTATAAGATACATAAAAAAGATGAAGTCTCTAAGATTTGAAAATTGAAAACTCTTAAGAAAGGATGGAAGAGACCAAAGAATAACGAAGATTAAATATATGTGAAAGGGGGCGGAGGACAAGCATAAATATGTCACACAAAAAACTTAAGAAGAAGAAGAAGAAGAAGAAGAAGAAGAAGAAGAAGAAGAAGAAGAAGAAATCATCATCATCATCCTCATCATCATCATCATCATCATCATTGTTTTACGAGAGAAAAAAACTGGAAACTAGAATATAAGCTAAGTTGTGTATAATTAATCAGATGTTCTGAGGTGTTCGATGTTTCGCCAGTTCTGGCTACTTCGGGGACATTTTAGAATTTCAATAATACTGAAAATGAAGCATGCAGTTTTGCATTGTGATGACTTGATAAGCAGCTATCCACTAATCGTCATTGTAATAATTGGAATTTCCTTAAGATGAATCTTGCAATTCTAATTTGGAACCTATGCAGTCTGTTACTTAGAGGTATGCGTTAATTTGCAAATTGCTTGTAAGAAAGAAACGAGAGCGCGAGTCTGGTCGGCAAAAACTGAACTTTTCTCGCCCTCTTGTGTTTCTCTGAGCACAATACCTTCTCGTCTCAATAGTGTTGAAGGGTCAAAGAACGAGCCAGCAAAATAACAAGATGAATAGACAGGGGCACTAAAGCCTGTACAGTGAGGTATTTACAAGCTTTTAAAGTAATATACCCATTACGATTGAGGACATCAGTGGCTGCTACAGCTACCCTGTAGTCTGGGTTAGTCTGAAAGGAAGGGACATTATACGGGATAAATAAATGAGATATCAAATTTTTATTAAAACACGCGAGAAGTTGATTTTTTTAGATCATGGGTCGATTTAAGTAGATGCAAATAAATGACACCTTTCTCTGTACATGTGATATTACAATAGACACGGTATTCTTCTTTTCATGTTACATGGGTAGAAGCATATCATAGTCTGTTGTAATTGTCGTTTCGCTATTTCATTACTAGATATAAAGGATGTTTGCTATCCAGTAATAAAAAGGTATGACAATAATGATAACAGATGTAGTTATATCATTGTTTGGACGGCTTTATATTTCAACTTAAACAACAAATAAGCAAACAAGTAGATAACTACACAAAGACTTGTGTAGGTCTACTCACCCTATTGCCCCTGTTAAATCGCCACTTGTAGTCCGGTATCGTGGCCCAGTTGAACATGTGGTAGTACACTTGCTGATATTGGGCGTAGTCCGACTCCAAGAATAGGTCTGGTTTGACCAAGGAGCCCCAGGCAAATAAGTGTTTCAGGTGGTTGATCTATTTTTAAAAAATTGTTTCAGGAGAGTTTTCATTGTTGCTGCTGATTTCGTTTTATGTTAGAGTGTTACGGCTCTTGAAACAAGAATAATAAAGGAAGGTGTCTAGTGAAAAACTGGAATAGTTCATTTTTTGGAGAGAAAAAAAATAGGGTACAAGCTTTTACCTTGCAACAATACATGTTGAATGTCTGTATAACATCAATCAAGTAAAAAAAATAAAAAAACCCAACTAAGTCGTTCTCAAAATATATTTCTATAACAACGAATTAAATGGAGTCAACCATTAAAACACTTTAAATTGACGAAGTGTTGTTAGCGCTAATGTAGATCTGAAAATAGAGTGTTCCTTTAGGAAAATAAGTGAGAATAATTACGCAGACATAATTTAGTGAAATCAGACCTGGACCTCCAAATTACGACATGTGCCTTAAACACTACATCTATTGGAACCGTTCCACAACCCGGTCCCCAAACCGAAAAAAATACCCCCAAAAAG